TTCACTCCAGGTAGCATCCCGGAGCATTTAAAACCAAAGACTACAGAATCCAACTACCTTTAATTCATTATCTTCAGTGGGAATTCTATTATGTTAAAGTGTGGAAAATATGTTGGATTGGAACGAATTTCTGAAAGCCTTCAAAGCTTCTTTTGAATTATAAAATTAAGACAAGTAAGAAAACCCACAATGAGCAATGTGGAACTATTAAGATAAGTGAAATTATTGATTGTTTTAAGTTTTGGAAGAATAATGAAGCAGCACAGTTTTAAATATTTTTAAAAGATAAGCCTGTTTAGCTGTTTCTCACAGTTCCATTTTGCAATTTTCATATATAAGGTTCATCTTTTTCGGATAAGCTTTGGGATCATAATCTACCTTGAGCGTCCTTATTCCAGGGGAGGTTAATGGGGTCTCCTTGGAGCTGTGGATGAAGTCTTGGAGTATTTGTGTCCAGGGTCTCTGCAGTACTCCAGAGCATTTCTGAGGACAGAACAGTCAGCCGAGCTCATCGGCAGGATTTGGAGGAGAGTTTGATCAGTCACTGGGAACATGGATTCTTTGCACTCAGGTTCTGTTAACCCTGGAGGCCAAATCCCCAGAGGTTAGAATGATCCTACTGGGACAAACAGCAGAAAGCTTGACAGACAGTGGTTTCAATGGCAAACTATGTGGTTTTAGCTGGTTAAACACCAACGGTACACCAATGCACATTCTGCGGTCCCCAAGCCTTTGCAACCAGTGCCTAATGCTCTCCTGGATTAGATAAGTAGAGTGCATCCATCCAGGGAGAGAGTGTGCGTTCCATTCCAGGGAACGGAGGGAAATGTCCATGTTTAGGTATCATACATATGTGGAACTCTGTCTGGTCTGGATACTCTTAATAACAACAACTTGTATTTATATAGCGCCCTCCATGCAGGGTAGTGTCTCAGAGCGCTTAACAGTGGTGGAGCCTGAGTCCGAGCCAGGGGTGGGAGGTGGCCGTAAGAACAGTTAGAGAGGAAGGTTTTCAGGCAGGACTTGAAAAGGGGGAGAGAGAGGACAAGGCGGAGGGATTGAGGGAGAGTGTTCCAGAGTTTCAGGGCGTAGTGGCTGAAAGCCCAACCTCCAATGGTGGGGAGGGTGCGAGGAATGAACAGGAGGCCAGTGCCAGTCGAGCAGAGGCGCCGGATGGTGGAATGGGTATTGAGGAGTTGGAGAGATGCCAGAGAGTGAAGGGATTTGAACACGAGTGTGAGGATCCTGAACTCGATCAGTTTGGTGATGGGGAACCAGTGGAGCCTGGCCAGAACTGGTGAGATGTGTGTACGGAGTTTGGTCCGGGTAAATATGCCAGTGGCAGAGTTCTCAATAAGCTGGATCTTTTGATCCAGCTGGGAAGACCGGCGAGGAGTGCGTTTGAGTAATTCAAGCAGGAGTTGACAACAAACCCATGCACAACTGCATTTGGGGTAAGGTGTGGTCGGAGGCGGACATTATGGTTGAGATGAAAGAAGATGGTCCTGGTCAGCAACCAGATGTGGGGGAGGAAGGACAACTGGGGGTTGAATCTGACGCATAAATTGTACACTGGTTCAGTGAGTCTGAGGGAGAGCCCGGGGAGGTTGAGGAGTTCAGATCTGCAAGATTGAAGACGTTGACGGGATCCAAGGAGTATGGTTTCTGTCTTATCCACATTCAGCTGCAGGAAGTTTACACTCATCCAGGCCCTGATGTCTGCCAGACAAGCTGATAGAACATTGGCGGACCTGGAGTAGGTGCTGGAGGAGGCAAAGTAGATTTGTGTGTCATCCACATGCATGTGGAAGTTTATCCCGTGTCTGTGGATGACATCGCCCAGAGGGAGCATATAGATAAGGAAAAGAAGAGTGCCAAGGATGGAACCCTGGGGTATCCACAGGTGACTGAGTGGAGGCGGGAAGAGAAACCATTTGCCGAGATGAAGTTGAGGCAGTTGTTTAAGTAGGATTCAAACTATGCGAGTGCGGTCTCACTAAGATGGATGAGGGAGGAGAGGTGGTGGAGAAGGATGGTGTGGTCAACTGTGTCAAACGTGGCAGAGAGATCCAGAAGGACGAGGAGGCAGCGGGAGTCCTGGTCACAGATAGAGAGATGTTGTTTGTGACTTTTGACAAGCGCTGTCTCTGTGTTGTGGGCCGGGCGAAAAACAGACTGCGGAGGGAGAGGAGGGAGAGGTGTGACCGAAATTGACCTGCAACAATGCGTTCCAGGACTTTGGCAAGGAAGGGCAGGTTGGAAATGAGATGGTAGTGTGAGAGAATGTAGGGATCGAGAGTGGGTTTTTGAGAAGGGGTGTGATAACAAGCATAAAGATAGGTTTCCACATGTGCCAGATAACAACAACAACAACAAAATTACATTTGTAAAGCACCTTTCACGTCGGGAGTACGTCCCAAGGCACTGGACAGACAGAGTTTCGGACCCAAGCTGGGAGTTGGGATCAGAGAGGGTGGAGGCAGGGGGGAAGCAGGGAGATCAAAAGCACAGTCGAAGAGGAGGGTCTTGAGATGGGTCTTGAAGGAGGCAAGGAGTGGGCGAAGCGGAGGGACTGCGGGATGGAGTTCCAGAGGGTGGGGGCAGAGTGGCTGAAGGCCCTCCCATCATGGTGGGGCAAGCAAGGTGGGGGACGTGAAGCAGAGCGGAGCCTGCTGAGCGGAGGGAGCGAGCAGGATGGTAGAGGGATAGGAGGTCGCAGAGGTAGGGGGGAGCAAGACCATGGAGGGCTTTGAAGGTGAGGACCAGGATCTTGAACTATATCCTTTGTGTGATGGGAAGCCAGTGGAGTCAGGCGAGGATGGGGGTGATAGGGTCATGGAGCCTGGTGCGGGAGAAGACATAGGCTGCAGAGTTCTGGGTGATTTGCAGCCTATGGAGGAAAGAGTTGGGGAGGCCGACAAGCAATGGGTTTTCATAGTCAAGTCTCGATGTAAGGAAAGCATGGATGAGGGTTTCAGCAGCCTGCGGTGTGAGACAGTGGTGGAGCCAGGCGATGTTGCAGAGGTGGGGGAAGGCAGAGCGGGTCATGACGCAGATGTTGGGTAGAAAGGATAGTTTAGACACCTGGCTGACCAAAAAAACTGCCATGCATAGTCAGTCTAGGTAAGAAAGTGAGGAACAAGAACTATGTTCAACTCCTGTGCTTCTCAAATGCTGTTGGTATTCCAAGCAAAGGAAGATCCCTTTGAGTGCAGCAAACAATCTTGGTGAATTTGAGGAACTTTCAATTATCTGTCAATTTCAATTATCCACCAGGGGGCTCCCTCCATTATGATGGATAATCGAGATTCCACTGCAGTGACACGTGTTAGCTCAGCTCACATAAGGGTGCACAGGATCGATTCCACATGAGCCTGACCAATACTCAAACGCAACCACTGGCAGATAAAAGAGTTATGAATCAATGAGATAGAGCTGGAACCAGGGCAACTAGCACTTAATAAGTGAAATGCTTAATAGTAGTCTGTCCAACACAAGAAACTGCCAAACCAGACCAGAGATCCACTACTTAAAGATAGGAGAATAAGCAAATGAGCAAAGACCATCCTTCCCATCAAGTTTGTTCCTTTGAAAACGCTGTGCAATACACACTGATATAGCCATAACCTAATCTAATGAATCTCTGGAGCAAGGTGAATAACCACAGGCAATGTTCGGGTAAAAACTACACAGACAAACTCTGTAGAATGTCTTCCTGTCCATGAAATTAATTGAACAAAGATATAAATCTAGCATTACACCTACAATGATTCAGCTGTGCCTTGTTGGGTGCCACGGATCACATTTCCACCATCTCAGCAGCACAGGAATTATCGAGTTTCATAATATATTTGATCTATTTCTATAATTATCCTTATAACCTTCAATCCAATTTGTAATCAAATATTCATCGTACTCTTTGAAAGTGCTTTAAGTTACACCATTAGTTGCTTTTGATGGAAGTTTTTTTTAAAAAAGCCACATAGAAATACAACAATCAGGTAGCAAATCAGGTGTGCACAAACATTGTGGATGGTATAAATATGTTTCTTTTAAAAAGCTTACAAGGTTGTATGTATATTCATAATATAAATAATCCTTAGGTGCTTTTCACCCCGGGAGGACATCTCAAAGTGCTTCACATGAGTTTACTGGAAAGTGTAGTGACTGTGTATTTTGTAGGCGAATGAGGCAGCCAATTTGCAAACAGCAGTATCCCTCAACCATGAAGTGAATGACCAACTTTATGTGGGGAATTGTTGGCCAGGACACTAGGAGATAAACTTCCATATCTTTTTGAATAATTTTCAAAGTGCACCTATATACATACATAGATATAAACCACAACAGCTTGCATTTATAGATCGCTGTTCATGTAGGGTAATGTCTCCGAGCGCTTACACACATGCATTTAAGTATTTATAAACCACACATTGCCATGCAATAGGCACATACCTCATGCATGAATACACACATGTACGCACGTTGCATATATACATTTACACACAGGCACTATCGGCAAAGTCCGATGGACTTGGAAATCCTGGTTGTGCAAACTAGCGCCTGTGTGCTTTTTTTGGGGGGGGGGAGTGGGGGATGAGGGGGTGGGGGGGGTGATTCTAACTAACTGCATTGTGAATGGATTAGGTAGATGAAAGGAATCTAGGTGGAAGAAATCATTGGTTCCAGGGTGGGAATGATCCCACGCTGTTTAATAAGCCTGCGATCAGCCCTGGTCAATAGGGCTGAGTGAGAGGTAGAGTGCTGGAGATAGATAGCGCATGTCTCATCTCTCCAGCCCAGGCAGCCACTAGACGCTCCTAACACCACCACCACCATCTTGCATGTGCACCGATCCTGCAACCACAGGCTTCATCGGGGCAAAATCTCCCTGACTATGGGGACTGCGGAAAAAACACCGAGGGTGGATTCTTAGAAGCAGATCGTTCGCTCCCTCCCTCCCTCCCCTTCCCTCTCTCTCTCTCTTTCTCTCTCTCCCCCCTCCCTGTGTGTGTGTGTGTGTGGTGTGTGCCATCCTCAATGCCTCTCGATCAAATCTAACAGAAGAAGATGAGGGAGGTCGACAGGCAGATTGTTTTGCTTTGCTCTGGCTTTCTGGGGCTTGCTATGGGAGCCTTTCCCACCAGTGTTCAAATAGGTAAGACAAATGTTCCCAATCTTCTATCCCCCCCCCACCCCCTCACCACCACCACTCCATCACCCCTTTCCTTTCTCGTTGCTTTTTTTTCCCCCCCTTTAAAAGAAAAGTCTTCGTTGCACGTTGCAAATATGTGTTGCGATCTGTCATTGCGGCTCTGGTGCGTTTGCAAACACAATAGAGCGAGGGTCTCGGTGGCGGTGCTGTCGGAGGGGTCGTGGGGGGGGTGTTCTGCGCTCTCGGTGCAGTAAATGTGTAACGTTATATCTGTGCTGATATCAAAAAGAAAATAGTCAGAAGTTGACGTTCTTTTGCAGAGCTCTGTGGAGCACAGTGTGTGTTGGCAGCGATGCATTTGAGGCAGTAGTTTATTCTGCCGTTGGATCATGTTGGACCATTGCAGCAGTTGTGATACTGGGGGGAGTTTGCTGATGGGATGCTGTTCTGGCTCAGGCTCCCAGCAGGTTCTCCTTTGCTGCTTTGCTCAAGAGTGGGGGGGTAGTGGGGGTTGGGGGGGGTTGGGGTGGGTGGGAAGAAAGTTGATCATCTTATGTGTCTGTTTAATTGTTTTGTATTTATGGCCCCATCAGTGTTGAGAGAATAGTTGGGGGATGTTTTGTTTTAATATTTAAAAAGAGAAATCATTGCAGCATTTCACCAGAATCCCATTCAGGAGATTGTCCATGAGATAAATGTATTCTGTGACTCTGCGAATTTGCTTTGCTTTTGCCATAACCCCCCCACCCCCCAACACACACACACAACACACACACACACACTTGCACCAGTCAGCTTTTTTTTTTGGTGGGGGGGGAGATCCCCATTCAATGCATTGGAAGTCAGTGTTAGTTTAATCCCAGTTACCGCACTACACAGAGCTGCAAAGTTACCAGCACGTCTTTTACCCTTTGAAGAGGCGATGCCCCCGTGTGTCTCCCGTGCAATGTGGGGAAGGAGGGAACATCGTGTCGATCTCACCACCGAAAAGGCGGTGTTAGGGGGAGATCCTCCCGATGCTCTGCCCCACTGCCCGATGACCCGCGCTCAAAAGTTGTTATGGTTTGATGTGCAGCTGCCGTGGGTTTGGGGTTATTTTGCAGAAGTGCAAAGCTGTCGGAGTCGCCTCTGCAACAGAACATCGCCTGTGTTTTTATTGCCCAAACCTTCTTAGCCGCTGATGTGCGTTATTCTGCCTTCATTACGCGGAGACATAGTCAAAGCTATATATATATATAAATATATATATTTAGGGGGTGGGGGAGTGGAATAATGACCTCCCACCCCCCAAAAAAATAAAAACATTGGAGATGATGGTTTGACCATCGGGTTTATATGTACAGCACAAACACTGCATCAATTGCAGGACCGAAAATGCTAACGAAATGTCGCTGTCCAGATTCATCCTTTAACGTACAATAAAGCGCAGACCATCGGAAAAGTTGATGCTTTACATGTTAATTGGACTGTGTGTGAATTTTTTTTCGTGAGATGTTTTCAAAGCAGACTGTTTTTAAAGCAAGTTTACTGTTTTTTGGGGGGGAAAAAAAACTGCAGGCTGATATTTTCTTCCTCCACCCAGAACGATTCCTCCAATAGAAAGGCTATTTAATGTCTAAATTCCCTTCTGGTGTTTTTTTTCTTAGCTCTGGGATTGCTGTCTAAAGCATTGGAAGATTGCATTGTTTCAGTATCAGAGAGGTTGCTAATGGGATGCTATTAGCTGATTGTACCTCCATTGTTTTTTTTATTGCAGGAGGGCTCTTCATGAGATATTCTGACCAGGAGTACAGTGCATTTCGCTTTGCAATTTATCTTCACAATACCAACCCCAACACGACTGAAGCACCTTTCAATTTGGTTCCTCATGTGGACAACATTGAAACAGCCAACAGTTTTGCTGTAACAAATGCCTGTAAGTAGGAAATGCTTTGCTTCAGCTATTTATCGAAATAATTGATTGTTGGAGCAAAACTCGAAAGTGCAGACACAAGACTTGTTTTCAAATGTACTGATCCGTTTCTTTAGTAAGCAAGCAAATGAGAGAGAAATTCATAGTGTCAGGCAATAACATGCGTAATAGATCCAACGACACACAAGATGCATTTTGCTTATGTGCTCAGTTTAGATTTCAAAAACGTCCAAGAGGTTTGTGCTCAGATTCTGTAATCATTTTGCGTTTGCAGAAAAGAGTCCAGTTTGGATGAATCATTAAATTCTATGAAGCTGTCGCTGTTCTGGCCATGCCAAGGAAAAATAAAAGCTTGTCTCTCTTTAATTTGCCCTTTAACTACTACTGTTGTCAGCAAATATAACATTTGCTTTTTTCTCCCAACTGACCTGTTCCTTTACTCTGTTTTGAAGTTAAAAATAGAAACATCTATGTGAATAAATAATGAAGAGACCTGACATTGCATTGGATTTATGAACGTCAGTACAGACGGCCTTGGTTCCAATGTCAGAGTTAGGTTGTCTGTTTCCATCAGTTCACATGCACATACTCACCTAGGTGTCATGATAAGTTGTGTCCTTTTTACCCATGCATTCATTCTGGATACTATCTGAACTGAAATTAATATCCCAGATATGTTCATTTTAAAGCAAGACCTTTTGAGAACGTCACACATAGAACAGAGGAGTGTCTCCTTTGTACATTAACACCACAATTAAATTATTTGTTACATTTTTGTTTGAACAATTTTCTTAAGGTCTAATTTGGGGACTCAAATTACAATCCTGTAAAAATGAAGGCAAACGATGTAGCGCTTGAATATTTTAATAGTAATGGGTGGTGAGTACCAAGACTAACCCGAGGCAATTAATGTCCAGTAGTGATGGCATTAAAACAAAGGGGAGGGATATTTAGTTATGCATTAAAATGAAACCTGTGCTGCTTTGATTACATTATATACTTGAAGGTCAAAGTAAGGTTCTTAATGAAGGAACTTCTTTAGCATATTTTAAAGCAGGGAGGGTCCAACCTTTGGCTGCTGAGGATCGAATGTCCTACTTGAGAAATGTCCACAGGCTGCCAATATTTTTGTGTTTCCCTTCCAGAAGCATAACATGTACAGGTTATGGAGGGAGCAGGTGGACCAGATGAAATGGAGGAGTTGGGAGGGTGGGTGCGGAGTGTGGACCACCCTGTTTTAAAGGGTATGGCAAGTCAGTTAAATGGAAAGAAAACTTGGGACTTGGTATAACTTGCTGGGCAACATCACCCCCACCCTGTTCATTTTATCTGAATTAGTAGAATGTGTAAAAATGAACAGCTCTATGTGGTAGGAGAAGAATCTATGTATTTGCACCACAAGCACTGATAATGAAGTATTTAGACACCCACAGCACTGCAACATCACATATTGACATGTGGCGGTTGCTGCTGTGAAATGGAGCAGTTAAATGACAGGGGAAGTGTCAGCCATCTCTCTTTTGTGCAGTAGTGAAAATAAACAAAGCCATATGTCTGTAAAGTGGAATTCAGATCAAGCAACATTGTTCCTGTTTCAGTGAATAGCTCCTGCTCTAGGACGCTATAAGTATAATCACCATCATAGATGATGGCATGTGTCAAGCAAGTGAATCTTGAGGCTTGAGCTAGGTGATTAGATAAATTCTATGGAAATGTCCCATAAATGCCCCTCCCCTTCCAGAAAAATATAAATTAACCCATGTCATTTTTTCACAAAAAAAGTCTTTAAGATGTAGTGATGTAAAATGCAAGAACTCACACTTCTAATTGCAAATAGGGTCTAACGTGCAATATTTCTTAACAAATGTTTAATATCTAATTGTCAAATTTCTAAATTGTTAAAGTTCAACAATTACACTTTTTTAAAAGAAATCTGTTAAGAAATGCAGTAAATGAGACCATAGGCAAAGCAGTGTACTGTAGTGCAGTGTATAAGCAAAGTACACTCCTGAGAAGTGAGTGGTACTCCAGTGTATATTCATGGTACAGATGAAAGAAGAACGTTGCATACGTTAACAGTATAGATATGGACCAAAATCTGGAACAAAACGTGTTGTGTGTCCTGAACAATCTAATAAATGAGAATCTAAAGGCATGCACTTTCACAAAGGACTCAAAACTGTTTCAGTCAACAACTCTACTGAGCTGCTTCAGGAGTTTTCAGCCACAACACTTGTGCGAAGAATGTTGAATGTATGTGCACTCAAAGCAGGCGGTAAATGTTGTTCTGTACATTGATCTGAAATGTCGTCTGTTTGACAGATCGGCATCGATATGAATTGATGCAATGGAGGTCTCATATTTGACCTTGTAATGGAGTGGCAGTAAAGTGCCTCCTCTTCCCCGTACCCTCACTGTGTTGTAATCAGGATGAACCGTATTGTTTGCTTCACTAATTCATTAATCCCAGGTACCTCCATTCTCAGGAATTTCTTCATTACAGAACTGGAAAAGACCATTACAGTTCATCTGTCTGGTCTCATTTTCAAACACTTTCACCCTATCTTCCACAAACTCTATCCAAGTGCATCAAATTCTATTGAAAAGCTCCACATTATCCATTTCCACTGCCTCTCTTGATAAACTATTCCACATGTTAACTACCTCATGAATATCAACTAACTATTCATCCCTTTCTTGAGTTTGAGACTATGACCCATCAGACTCTCCTTTCCTGTTATAACCTGTAGGATTTTAAAATCCAACCAAGCTACACAGATTTACACAGGTAAATCTGATCAATGTTTGCTATGTCATATATTAACAATCTTGGTCCCGCTGTAGGTTTCTTAATTCATGGCATGGTTCTGGTTCTCCCAGTGGGTTGAATCCAGTTTGCACATAATGTAACTGACAGAGGTTTCCTTGGCTTGACTTGGATTTTTGCAACGATTTCAGAACACATCCTGCAGGAAGCTTGCAGTTGTGTTCTTGGGAGTTAACAAAGCTATATGCAGAGGAACATAGGTACTCTTTGAAGCAAGCAAAGGTAGACACCCAAAGCGATTAAAAACAGTGGCATACACAACCAAAAACACAAAGAAGAAATGACTTGTACGAAGGTAGTCACCGACTGCACCAAAGCACTTTCAAAAAGCACAGGGCTATCACACAGAAAGGGCTTCATGTAGACTGGCACAAGTGGATGCATCAGTGCAACAGAACAAATCAAAATATTCTGGGGGTTACATGGAGATGTGAAATTCAGAGTGCCTGAATATTAAACAATGAAATTCACAATACACTCAGTACCAACATTCAGCCGTTGCAACAAACTCAGAGACTGACAAACCACTTAATGCTATGATACCCACAGACCTAGAGGACAACATGTCCATCAGAAAATTATTTGAGAGCAAGAGCCACAATTCAGATGAAAAATAGACACTCACATTCAGCAAGATGCACTTGCATAGGGAAATGCACTAAACTGCACAGAGTGTGTGCGTGAGTACATCTGTGTGCACAATACATTCAAAACCCAAACTTTGCACTCAAAAGACAACATGATTTTGTAATATTATTGTTTTCCCTTTTCGTTCTGCGTAGCACTCGTCTGAATCCCATCGGTGTGACATCTGTCCTACTGCACAGTCAAAAAATATTACGGAGCTAATGTTGTACGAGTAAACCAGCTGACAACGGAAATGAACATATCATTTGTCCCTTAAGCCAAAACTGACCAGAATCCTAAAACAAAATCAATTGTCTAATAGCTGGAGGACACCAACGTCCATGTGATTGAATCCACTGGGCTGACAGACGCTCCCACAACCCAGATGTGCACACTGCTGTCCAAATAAAGGGCAAAGAAAAACCATTTTGCTGCTTTATACATGAGAGATACATTTATAAAGATATCAAGAAATCCATGATTCACAGTTCATCTATGAGTACATGTATACAAATCTCCCAGTTTTATAAATAATGACTTAATCCACTTTTCTTCTATGTGCCTGCCCACTTAATATAAGGTAAAAGTTAAACTCGATAAATAATCCAGACAGTGAAACATGTTTGCTGAATTCTTTATCCTGTTTTTATTTACTCTGTGTAGTCTGTTACCTATTATTGACACAAAAGACTTCAAAACAAGTTTAGAATAAAACTGTCAGCAAACCAGTAACATTTCTGGTGTTGTCTTTGGCTGGAACCAGGTCTTAAATGCTTCTAATTCAGGTGAATATTTATTGCTGCTCTCTATTATGGGCGAGAGTGATATTTATCCTGTTTGTCACAGTTTTTCATCACCAAGCAAAGGGCTCTCTCTGCTTGTCCGCCCCCTGTTCTGGAGGGCGGAGAGGTGCTGTGCCAGTCATTTGGTGAACACAAACTGATGTGATGAGCAGATCACTGCTAGTGTTTGGCAAGCCTTGTACTGTAGTTGCTGCCAAAACCCAGAACCAAAAACGTGTCTCTTTCCACCTGTTTAGCCCAACACTCCATCAAAGCAAAGCTGTGTGTCACCCTGACTCAGTGGTAGCATTCTCACCTCTGAATCAGAAGGTTGTGGGTTCAAGCCCCAAGTTGGGACTTGGAATCACATAGCTGACACTCCATTGCAGTGCTGGGGGGGGGGGTGTTGGAGGTGTCGTCCTTCGAATGAGATGTTAAGCCGAGGTCCAATCTGCCTGTTCAGGTAAACATTAAACACATGGTACTATTCGAAAAAAGAAGGCAATTTCGTCTGGTGTCTTGGCCGACAATTCCTCCAAATAAAATTGGTCATTCACTTTATGGCTGTTTGTGGGACATTGCTGTGAGCATGCTGGCTGCTGCATTCGCCCACAAAATAGACAATCACTATATTTTACAGTATATTCTGTGTAGAGCTTTAAGGTGTCTCAACGACGTGAAGACGCTACATAAAATGCAATTTTAGAAACAGGAAATTAGAAACAGGAGATGGCCAGCTCCACCATAGATCATTCCATGAACTACAA